ACAGGTTAAAGTTATGCACAACTCTGTTTCTCACATCCACTCCTTAAAGAGAAGCTCACATTCCCTTTCCATTTCCAGAGTTAGAACTAATCTTCATGGCAGAGTAATGAATAGATATAAAACTAACAGTCAAGCATATCTTAACAGTTATTTTTCAATATTTTGATGGGTCTTGTCCAACAACTAATAGAAAATATTAAGGGAACAAATATTTAGAAAAGTGACAAACATTATTTGCAGATAAAATAATTGTATATCTTTTTAAAAAATCAAAGAAGATTCTAGCCTATGTAAACTAGGCAGAAATGTTATCTGATACAAACTGAACAATTAAATATCCCTAGGCTATTATATACCAATTAAAATTATAGTAAAAAAAATCCTTTAGAAAAAGAACAATGGCTAAACTTACCAACGTATATACTTCAGAAACTTTCAAGATCTATTTGAAGAAAACTATGAAACACAATATCTACATAAATGAATAGGTATATTAGGTATATTGATTTTATGGAAAGAATAATAAGTTCTTTTAAAGAGATTCACTGCAATTCCAAGCAAGTTTACAGAGTATTTTTGTGAGGAAAGTTAGCACAATTCTTCAAAATTTTACCTGGATGAGTAATTTTGTGATACAAAATGTGATATTGGGAAAAAAACAAGGGAGTAAAAATATATTCTACTTGACATAAAAATATATTTTCAACTTTATCTAAGTAATATAGTGTATTAATGATCATGTTTAGAGAATTTGAGTGACATTATAGTATGTAATTCATTCTAATACATATAAAAACTTAAGGACAAAGAAGGCATTTTAAATAAGAGCATTATTAACAAAATAAGGAGTAGTTGCTTATTCACTTTAAAATTATGCATTTATATGCATATTTATGTACACAAATCAGTATAATAATTTACCTCAAGTATATTAATGATCTATTTTAATTAGTTTTTGGTAGGAACACAGATTGGTACAGCTATCAGGGACAAATTTATGAAAGTTTCTAAAATTAAAAATAGAACTACCATATAATCCAGAAA